ATAGTCGAGTTCGGGAACAATTGATCAAACAGATTCTGCTTTAAACGCCTGGTGAATATTGATGTTTTCGCAGTGTAATTCTATGAACAAAAGCAATTAGCAACTTACTAATCCTTGGCGTTTTGAGGTTGGTGAGCTTGTGCCCCAATTTGCTGCATATCATTGCAAAGAGCATGAAATAGTGCATAATAATGTCGAGTTTGGGAGCAACTGGAAAGACAGATTTTTCGGAAACGCCTAGTGAATATCGATGTTTGCGAAATGTAATTCTATGAAAAAAAGGAATTAGCACCTTATTAATTCTTGCCGTTTTGATGTTGGCGAGCTTGTGCCCCAATTTACTGTATATCATTGGAAAGAGCATAAGATACTGCACAATGTATTTGAGTTTGGGAGCAGTTGCGTTGATACAATTTGCAATGAAGGCTTGCTGAATATAAATGTCTGCTCAATGTAATCCTGTAGTCTGGCATTTAATACATATACAACACAAATCCTTGCCATTTCGACGTTTGTGAGCTTGTGCCACTATTTACTCTGCATGGTTGGAAAGCGCATGAAATACTGCACAATATACAGTAGTTTAATACTGTCGGAATTATAAAAGATGTCTATAATGACTTGACCCTTACAGCTAATGAGATTGTGGATTGCACGCAAATGCGCAAGGTGAAGAAAGGTGTTTGCCATGTGTAATCCTATACTATCAGTCTATCCTTGCCATTTTCTGACTATGTTTCTTAGCTGTGTAGATCATTGGTAAAACACTGTGCAATATACATGACCTTCGATGCAATTGGTTAATGTAGAATTTGCAGAAGAATGCTAAGGTTCGTCATGGTAGTTGTTTAAGTGGTGCAATCTTATAGACCGGTATTTAATACCTATAGACTACGCAATTATCAGTCTCACAAAACTTGTGCCGCAACATGGTGTATATGAATGGAGAGATTGGAAAATACTATACAACATACTTGACTTTCAAAGCAATTGGGTTTGGAGATTCCAGTTAAATCGTGGCTGAACATGGACCTTTTATACTGACAATATATATGATGTTTTCGCACAGTGATACGTCTCATATAAAATGGAATGTTTTCTGCTGTTATTAATTATGTTCTGTATTGGAAAGAGGGTAACTCTCTCCACTGTTAATCCACTTTATATGAATCGTAGCCATAATTTTTGCGAGAATATGGACTTAGTAAAGTATACTGGAACATATCCATATTCTCGCAAATGTTACATATCATGAAAAATCGGAGGTTTTTGTGCTTGTGCCATGTTATTGTTATTACTCCTGGAAGCAGTAAGACATATCTACAATATACTTAAATTTTAACATTACCACGTTTGCTGAATTACGGCAAATGTCGAAAGTTTATTAATCTATAACATATAAAATCGAACGAGTAAATGGCAGTGTCTTAAATGGTCAATTTCTCGTACAAATAAGCATCTTTTCCTATTTTTTGCACAGCATACGATAGACACGTTGTATTGCTGATATTCCTGCTAATTTGCAGTAAAAAATACCTTAAAAGTAGGCAGAAAAAGGGGTTCAAATAATCTACTTTTGAATGATTGAATACAGTTGAATGCGAGGCCCAATCCGAGGCCCAATCTCAGGCCCAATCCGCGGCTACCTTCACAGTGGTGATTTTTTTACAATGCTTCGAGCCAATAGGCAATTCCCATTATAGCTAAGCATCATGGGAAATGTGGTAGGCTTCACTTGCACGCGAAATGGCCGCCGTGAAGCGAGCATTTTGCATGCGAGAGAAATTGCTTTATTAAAGTACATTTTTTCCAGAGTATTATAGTTTAAATAGAAGTAATGTGTTTGTAATACATTGAAGTATATTGTGGACGAAGTATATCGAAATCGAAGCGAAAACGGACGAAATAATTGGTGTTGAACAGGCGAGGAGCGAAGAATGGCCTCGCAAATACGAACCGAGAGGAAGGTTCAAGTCTACATTCTAAGGTGAGTACGCTTGGTAGACATCGGACTCCACGATACAAATACGTGTGACTTGTTGCTTGATTTATATCTCGATTTTCACAACGATCCAGCGTTATCTCGCGATTTTTTCGCTTCTTGAAACTCTCAAATTCGGCCCATGATGTCTTTCGTTCGTTCGATAAGCATGGCCTCTAAAAGCAGTCTTTTAAAAAAGCCTTGAAAATGTTTTGGCGCGAAAGAAAACCAACCTAAACCGTTTTTTTTCCGCCCCAGCTCTGTTACGTTGCCAAAAGCATAAAAAGAAATAATTTTACCGCTGTTTCTGCCGTTTATAATAATTTCTGCTTCCTTTGTTGTGGTCGGTTCATTTCCTATCAAAATAAACAAGTAGGTTCTAGCTAGTTAATTTTAAATATGTTAAATTTACCTCTTTTAACTTTGTTAAAACTGTTTAAAATTTGCATAGTTTTGTGCTTAGTTAAATACAAATTTAAAGGCATTCTAGTGTAATTTTTTTCATATAAAGCTGCAGAGCAGTTTAGTGGACAAGAATATAAATATATTAATATTTTAAAATAAGGAGTAGGTTTTAAGGCTGGTCCTAAAAATTAAATTTCTACATAGTTAATTTTAAAATTGTTAGAATAGGTTTAAGTTAAATAAGTTTATATTATGGGTAATGAACCAGGAACTTCAATAGAGGCAGATACAAATTTGGCAGCATTAGGGGATGGTTGGACAAAGAGTTTAAAGAATATCCCAGAATTTTCATACCAGAAATTAGAGGAACATTTGGTACTGGATGCTAAAAAAACACCTGACAACAAGCCTGCACTCTGAAGCATTTAAACATAAAAAAGTGGATACAGACTTTTCAAGGCCGGTTATCCAAGGCAATTTGTGGTCAAGCCAAATGTGAAGAAAGGAGATAAGGCTATTTTCTGGCCAGATCCGGTTCCAGCCGGATCTTAAAAAATTGGTTCCGGTGCACCCCTAGGGGAGATATGCCAATCAAACCTTTACCAGTGTTATGGTTTTTATACGTTGAGAAGGTTGCACTTTGACTTCTTGGTTGTGAGAGCATTTCTATAAATACTTGCAATCAACAATCATCCTAGTATTGGGATAACTCTCCTTGAAGCTGGAAGGCATGGTTTCTCTAATATAATTTTGTGAAGACCAAATGGGAATGGATCTTACTTGTGTGTATAAAAAATCAAGCCATGTTATCCAAATTCTAGATACTTGGGATTTAGACAAGTTAAATCTATTTGCTAAATCTCTTTCCAATAACCCCAACCTGAGTCTTGTAAGAACAGCTTGTCCTCTGGTGATAGCCTCCTCTTTGGCCCACACTTTTCACGTTTTGCAGTTTGATTTGAGCTGTTTGATGATACATTATACTGTAACCTTTCACATGCTGGACACAGATAGTTATAGAAAGCTTTAAATGTACCATAATTGGAAAAGCCGGTGTAGAACTCAAAGTCACGGCAATATCATTGCTTTTAAATTGATCTATTGAAAAATCACATTGCTGAACCTTTTCCTTCAGCTTTGAAATTTCCTCTTCATATTCTTGGTTTTTCTGTTCAAGAGTCTCAACTACATGTTCAAGTTTTGAAATTTTATTTCTTGAAGATGTTAGCTGTTCTGCCTGTTCATTTATTATGCATCTATCCTCATTTGGGTCTCTTCTATTTACATATTTAAATGTTGTTCTGGGCTTTGTTGGTGTAGGCAGCAAAACGTTTTGCACAACTGTTGGAACATTGTGAAGACAAGTCTTCTTGCCACCCACAAAATGTTTTGAACAAACTCGGTGGCACTTGTTAGGTTTAAAGCTTGCTCGGCCAATCAAGTGTAACCACATATTTCTCAGCTTCATATCAGTTGGAATTTGATATAATGATAGCTCAGGATTTTTTTTAGTATTGCTATCACATTTAGGAATACAACAAGTTGTTCCACCAGTGCCACCATTTTGCTTTTTCCTAGAATATGTAGTTTCTAGGTCTGCTGCCAAATTTGTATCTGCCTCTATTGAAGTTCCTAGTTCATTATCCACAATATAAACTTATTTAATTTAACTTAAACCTATCCTAACAATTTTAAAATTATGTAGAAATTTAATTTTTAGGACCAGCCTTAAAACCTACTCCTTATTTTAAAATATTAATATATTTATATTCTTGTCCACTAAACTGCCTGCAGCTTTATATGAAAAAAATTAAACTAGAATGCCTTTAAATACCTTTAAATTTGTATTTAACTAAGCACAAAACTATGCAAATTTTAAACAGTTTTAACAAAGTTAAAAGAGGTAAATTTAATATATTTAAAATTAACTAGCTAGAACCTACTTGTTTATTTTGATAGGAAATGAACCGACCACAACAAAGGAAGCAGAAATTATTATAAACGGCAGAAACAGCGGTAAAATTATTTCTTTTTATGCTTTTGGCAACGTAACAGAGCTGGGGCGGAAAAAAACCGGTTTAGGTTGGTTTTCTTTCGCGCCAAAACATTTTCAAGGCTTTTTTAAAAGACTGCTTTTAGAGGCCATGCTTATCGAACGAACGAAAGACATCATGGGCCGAATTTGAGAGTTTCAAGAAGCGAAAAAATCGCGAGATAACGCTGGATCGTTGAGAAAATCGAGATATAAATCAAGCAACAAGTCACACGTATTTGTATCGAGGAGTCCGATGTCTACCAAGCGTACTCACCTTAGAATGTAGACTTGAACCTTCCTCTCGGTTCGTATTTGCGAGGCCATTCTTCGCTCCTCGCCTGTTCAACACCAATTATTTCGTCCGTTTTCGCTTCGATTTCGATATACTTCGTCCACAATACACTTCAATGTAATACAAACACATTACTTCTATTTAAACTATAATACTCTGGAAAAAATGTACTTTAATAAAGCAATTTCTCTCGCATGCAAAATGCTCGCTTCACGGCGGCCATTTCGCGTGCAAGTGAAGCCTACCACATTTCCCATGATGCTTAGCTATAATGGGAATTGCCTATTGCTAAATATTTGGTTGTGGAACAAGCAGAAAGCATGTTGGGCTCGGAATCTTTCGAATTCCATCTGGCAAAGACGAATTATCAACTAGAGCTCGAGAGGCTTGGGTTAGGAAACATAATTACAAAGAATCGACATATGGACAAAAGTTTACGTCGCCAGATCGATATTAAAGGCGAGCTGCATGTTTTCGAGCATAGAAACATCCCAAGATTGAAATACATTGATTGTCGTACGTGTATTCTTATTTTTTTCGTAAGCAATGAGTTAAAACTGTGCGAAAGAGGCAATAACGTGAGAACAACTTATATCTACCAGGGCAAAACCAGGCAGTAATAATGCACCTATCAATGTTAAGCCCCCAGGGGGGGAGGCCGGGATATAGGTGGGGATTAGACTTTTTGAAGAAAATTTTGAGCTAATGCCCCAATATGGGGCAACAAAATACAGGCGAATATTGAAATATTCCCCACCCTGGGGACCAAATCCCCACAGTATAAAACAGAACATAATAAACAAAGTTAACAAATTCTGTTGAGAATAGAGCAGCAACATTGTTTTAAAATCATTAAAAGGATTTTATTTACAGAACTGTTGATTGTTGAATGATTTGGGACTGTTGAATTTTATTTAGGTATTCAAGTTTTTCTCCTTCAAAACGTTCAAAAATGCCATTAAAATTCTATTTCTACTCGTTTCGCTCGCCATTCTGCTTGCTTTCCATGTGGTTGCCCAACCGCATCCAAGGAATTACTGGTCAGCGGTAGTCACGCAACTTAAACGTGTGGTTTAAGATTTGTCAAATGTCCCAACCCTCGGGCTCTGAAGAATGGTAAATATCCCCACTTGGGGCAAGAAATTTCGTGCAAATCCCGAGGGTACGCCCGGCCTCCCCCCCCTGGGGGCATAACATTGATAGGTGCATAAGATTGCCCAAACCTTTACTGGACTATCAATTAAAGAGACTGTAAATTCAGTTGTTGCCCTGACAAGGTTTTTGTTGAGCGAAGGATTTGAGTTTGTGCTCACAGAACGGTTCTGCCAGGATGATATATGATGTTTAAGAGTATTTCGGTTTAATACCAGCGAGCACAAGGGAGAAGGAATGATATTTTACTGTAAAACCCAACAGCAGCTGACAATCCATTCAAGGAAATGTTTCAATTCTGGACGGCATTCTGGTATTAAAGCGAAGAAAGTGGTGTAAATGTGTAATGTCAGTGAGGAGTCATTGCCCAAAGAGAAGAACATAAAACAATCAAGAAATAGTGATCTTGAACATGTTATGAGAACAATAGTACAAGTAATGCAAAATATTGATAATTTTGCGAGAACTCTTGTAGTCTGTAGACATATTGAACATTTCTTATGAAGGTACTATTGTATTGTGAACAGTGCTACGAGTAAAATCATCTGGCATTACTGTAATAGACAGAGTAAAATAATAAAGTAGGGTGCATCTGGGTACATTGTCACTTAATGGGTTAAATTTAGAGAATTTCCATGCTGTTAAAACAAATGAGCTAAAGCTCATTATAATTTTGCTTGATCTAGCTATGCATGATATAACTTTGAAGCAATTTAGTGCTGACACCAATATGTACTTCATGCCACAAAAATGATCTAATATGTAGTTTACCTTGTTAAGAATTTTCAAAATTAACAGTACCTTAGAAGTGCTTAACCCATTAAACACCAACACTCTACCCTTGACAAATAAAATTGTCTGGTATTAAACAGAGTAAAATAGTCTGGCATTAGACAGAGTAAAGTAGGGCCCATCAGGGCACAATGTTACTGAATGGGTTAAGTAAGTCATATCAGTGCTAAACAATAAATTGCAATGCAATGTGGGAAACATGCAGGACAAAATATACCTAATGATTATATTGACTCAAAATTGTGTGATATAAGCACTTTTAAGGTCTATTACCACTCCCATGAAGTGCTACAATATATTAGTAAGATTACGCTTCATTATGATTGGCTAAACAGCAATATTTGTCCCTGAATCAGTTAGCTTGGGGAGGATTGCTTATAAGCTGACCACAGTGAAAGGTGATGTAGCACTTCACGAGGAGTGTTAAAAACTTATTCCTATCCAATCAGTATTTAAGTGTATCTCTTTCAAATAATGCTAGATTTACTCCATAATAATACCCTTTAATTAATTAAACTGAAATGTAGTAGTTAATTAGTGTACATATTTTTTCATCACTATATAAATATTTGCAATTAAAACCTACTAAAAAATATTTACATTTAGCATTCAGTTGCAATAAATATTTTATTAACAATGTCTCGACCAACTTTGTATCCAGGATCTTTTCTTTTGGGGAGAAAAGACCCTGGTAGATGCTTGTCACATGACGTGCTAAAATCTCATAAAATTTGGCAGATTTTTAATTAACTATATTGGACTCCTTTACTTACACAATCATACAAAATACATCTCATGAAATTAATTAAACTATAAAAATCATCCAAACATCAAATATTTATAAACCTCAGGTTGGATTGCTAATTAGAAACCTGCTAGATTTCAGTAGATCATGTGATCATGCACTTCAAATGTGTCACATACCATGTGTGACAGCACAGTGGTGACAGTGATTGGTTATGGTTTTTCAATACCCTAGATTATATTTAAGCTGGACATTTGGTCAAATGCAATAAATTTTAAAGACGTGATCTTAAAAAACTAATGTACTTCTTTGGTGGCAAAAGGGTTCAAGGAATACATTTAATATTGATTAATTACATCACTTCACTAGTCACACATTATTTACAGTATCTTTGGCAAATGAAAACATCTAACAGTAACATATAACTTTACAATATTTTCTAAACACAGGAACTGACATTCTTTAGAGATTTCCATATCATAATTTGCAATAATATTGCACCACAAGCTTTTCACAAGGGAAGAAGCCAATACTTCATTCACTATTTTGTCTACTGGGAGACAAGTGACCTTGTCTTTATTCGTGTGCTTACTAAAAACTAACTCACTAACTTCCATTACACCTACAAGCCATAAATGAGGTGACCAAAGGCCACCACAACGATTAAATGTACTCATTCTCCTCTGTTGCAGTTCGCATTGAATACATCAAGGCTTGAATTTCTTTGTTTCTCTGGGAGTGCCACCTGGAACAATTTTTGCTTTTTCGATACAAAGATCTTATCGTGAGTTCATGACATAACCAGCCAAATAGGTCAATGGCCAAGCTTTTGTGATGATACAGAACCTTCATCCTAAAATAAGTTAATAAAAACACAATAAATGCTAATACACTGGGTAAATTGAGCTACTATATTTCTACCCAGGGGTATTACCCTGGTCCATTACCTTTTGGAAACCAAGATGGTTGTGGGTACAGGGTAGTTGTATTTTTAAAATCATTACATAATTTGAGGGAACTTTATATACGTTTGACCAGTATTATATATTATACAATTTATAG